GTTGCCCCAAGACCAATATGTGAGAAAAATAGTGGCTTTGTAGACATTGTGTGGCCATGGACAGCATCAATTTCCATAGATCATGGGATCCCTAAACGGCTGGAAAGGGAACCATTTTGGAAAGAATTAACCATGTTTATCCATTCTGAGGGGTAGCTGAGTGCGAGGGACACTGCCTCCACCACTAAGAAGGCTGCCAATGGAATAGTTGCGCATGATTTCAGGTGTTGCAACACTACGGTCAATTTGCACCATCTGGCCGATCTTCTCTGCTAGAGTCATCCTCTTCAAAAGGTCCCGGATTCGCCTGTTCGTGGGCTGATTTGGTTCCTTGTACAACATATGGTGTTTGAGCCCAATCTTCACATGCTCTTTGAATCTCATGTTCTCTACTCTTCTTGCGTCTACCACTGCCAAACTAAATATCAGCAGAAAACCCAATAACATTGACATTCTCATCATGTTTGCTTTTTTCCTTTTCCACAGGCACACCTGAAAACAAAACATATCATATGTTAATCATATTTTTGTATACGCCTTCTGATCAGTACGCGGATTGTTTTCTTAACGAAGAATTGGATTGGTAGTGGAATGAAAAATTCCTTCCTTATTCACATCAAATCAGCACAACAGAAAAATGTCATAATGCAAATCTGTAAAATGGTTAACACAAATATTAGGCAAAAAGGGAAGCACTTTATAAGGTCATTGGGCAACTTTATACTTTCCTTAATTCTGAGTTCACCTCAATTACTCATGTCACCATTAGAAAGATCCAGGAGAATTAAGCCATAAGAACACTTTGGACCAAAGAAAAAGAACAAAAAAAAAATGTATACACTGAAAAATGCAAATTACAACAAGGCTAATATGACCTTACCAAGACACGAGTGAGAATTTATTCAATGCTGTGTTTGTCAATAGCAATAATTTGCAAAGACGAGAGAAAGTAAAGTATTTATAGGGTATGGATGACTAGGTGGACATATTATCCGGATCAGATCAAGGAAGTAGTCAGTTTAGAATTAAACGTTTTCTGGATCATTATTTTGGATAAATATGCTCTGGGGATCACTTATCATTTCTGTATGATTTGTTACAGACATACAAGTCATCATTGCTATTTACGTCCTGTTATTAATTATTTTTTTCCATAAAAGTAGGATAACTGCTTTTAATTTTTAGTAGATTTCTAGTCAGTTTTTCGTGTTCTATATATACTTATAAAATTTTGCTTCTAGAATATCCAAAATTTATAGAAATAAGAAAATAAAGTTAATATTGGTACATGAAAATATTTTATAATATTTTTATTTTCTAAATTTATGTATCTTTCATAATCCTAGAGATTATTTACAACGGAGAGAATAATAAAAACAATAATGGGAATTAGAAAATTCTTAAAATATTATTTTCAGTAACTTTCAACAAAAATTTCATTCGTACTTTTAAATAATTACAAAAATAAAATAAATAAACACATGAATAAGCACTAACAAAATGTAGAAAATAAAACCACGAAAATATTTCGATGAACAACACAAGGCTAGTTAAGCTGCAAAAATAAATATTTTGTTATTTTGCCAAAACGACAAATATGCTCTCAATTTTGTACAGGACAGCATGCGAGAAATGGAATCATACACATATTCGAATTCTCGAACACCATAAAAATGAAATACCATAAGATAAGGTGTTTGGAAATGGTTGGAGTAGTTGAATAGGAGGTTTTTCATTACTGTAGTCAGTTGGCAGATTTACCAAAGATGAAAATGATTTATTCGATATTATAGATGATTGGTTAGATAACGAACGATTCGTTCTGTCGGTTGGTTGCTCTATTGTTCTTTTCTTGCGCTTATTTTCACTATAGAGGGTCGGTTTAGAGGTACATGCTTTGCAACTTCGTAGTATACTCGTGAATTGGCTAGTTCCTACTTAGAACACTGCAATATTTGGCTATAATTATAGAAGAATTAAAGAAAAGAAAAATTATATGCAATGATGATATTAAAGCAAGCAAATCTAGTGTATTGAAACTTGTCCAACAAATTTCATACTGGGAATTGATAGGCATAAGATAGTAGTATAATACTGAAATCCTTTCTCAACTATACCAAATACCAGTGCTAGAATTAACTTCGTATGAGTTTAAATCTTCTACCAGAGAAATCATCTAAAATTATAAATTCGAGAAAAAAATTAAGAAAAAAAAGTCAACACTAGTTGAAAGTACCAATTATGTACTCTCGAAGTCCTTGGACTTGGCGATTTGCGAAGAGGATCTTCATGATATTTGGGCCGTCGTTGTCGACGGTGACGCCGCCCTTCTCGTCGTGGATAAGCTCGTCCATTGCCCCGGTCCCGAGCGTCATCCTCACCACATCCACCATGACGTCTAGGCGTTTAATTTGCTGATAAGCTGGTTCTTGTGCCCCGAGTGAGAAATGTCCGTGTGTTCCTTCAAAAGTATGATCTGCGGCTGCGCTTCATTTCCAAATAACAATCGACTATAAACTCCGCATATGCCAAGTAGAAATTGGAAAGAACTAGGCATATGAGTTTGCGATTCACTTACCACCATGGCTGCCATTGTTGGTTGGTGGCCATAGAGACAGCTGTTGGGTCTTCCAAAAATTCTAATTTACTTGTGTAAATTAAAACAATCTCAAAATTAATTCAGAGAATCCCAATTTAATACTTCCAAGCCAATCAATCGGTAAATCAATTGCCCCGGATTTCACGATTGTAAGTACCTATTATGTATTCTCGAAGTCCTTGGACTTGCTGATTTGCGAAGAGAATCTTCATGATATTTGCGCCGTCGTTGTCGACGGCGACACCGCCCTTCTCGTCGTAGATAAGCTCGTCCATTGCCCCGGTCCCGAGCGCCGCCCTCACCACATCCATCATGACGTCTGGGCGTTTAATTTGCTGATAAGCTGGCTCTTGTGCCGAGTGAGAAATGCCTGCGTGTTCCTTCAACAGTATCATCTGCGGCCGCTGTTCATTTCCACTAACAATCGGATTATAAATACTGGATATGCCAAGCAGAAACTGGAAAGAACTAGGTACATGAGTTTACCATTCACTTACCACCATGGCTGCCGCTGTTGCTTGGTGACGATAGAGAAAGCCAGGGTTTAGATTTGGGAAGACGAGGAGGATGTGTGAGGAGCTTTGCCCAGTTGCTTCCCGCGCCTTGCTTTTGGTCATGGAGGTTTACTCAGAGGAAAAAGTCAAACTGTTTGAACCTTAAGTTCATTACAAACCTCCCCCCTAAGTTCTTGGCAAATTGTTGACTTTCCTTTTTTGTATTACATTTTGTCAACAGAAATATTATTTTTGCCCCAATCCTATAAAAAGAGTTCAAATATAATCAAATGTAACTCTTCGTGTATAAGTTAAAGTTTTCGCTATCCTCCCTATTCTATTGGTCGGACTGATACCACGTAATTTCTAACACATTTAAAGAGATCTTGTTCCTCAGTAGATACGAAAACCAAAAATTTAACCGAATTCTAAGTTAACTAATCAACAGTCTTCCTAAAATTCAACATTTCTTTTCGAATTATTTGATGCAAACACAGTAGTAGTAATTTTTTAAGATTTTATTTATTTTTTTAAAAAAATAAAATTTAATTAAAATTTTTAATTTATCAGAATTATTTAATTAAAAAATATAATTAATATAAAATATTTTTTTCTGTTAATTTTATAAATTTATTATAATTTAATCATTAAAATTCTCTTAATATAAATTTAAATATTATAAATTTATTAACAGTATAAAGAAAAAAGAAACAAAACAAAATAAAAAAATCTACAAGGCAAATAACTAAGACATGGTGGTATTAGCGATAGGCTGGGTGGTGAGTCCAAATCCAAAGGGAAAAAGAGGATCATAACGAGCGTCACCAACATTCATAGGCAACTGATCAACAGTCTTGAACCAAGTCCGAGGCAACTTTCCGGCGAACCCGTAGTCTCCAAATAGAACATCAGAGACTCCTTGGCCTTCGGTCCCTGGTAACCAAGCGGCGACAAGTGCGTCAATATGGTCCATATAAGGCTGCACCACCAGTGGCCGACCGGACACGATCAGAACCACGCACTTCACTTGGCTGCAGACGGTGCTGATGGTGCGACCACCTGGCTCTGGTATGGTCAAGTTGGTGTTGTCTCCATACCATTCTGTGTAAGGTAACTCACCCACCACAATAATGGCGTAGGAGAAGTTGTTGGATTTGACAAAATCTGGATCTGGGTTCTCGTTGTATGTGGTTTCTGTACTTGGGTCTACGGCTGATGAGATACCGTTTAGGATGGTGGTTCCTGTTCATGATCGAGCAATTAGAATGGTTGCTCCGTTTTATGTATTTTTGTTGTTTTATTTGTATATAAAGCCAGAAATAATATATATGTGTGTGTGTGTGTGTGCGTGTGTGTGTATATGTATGAATGAATAGACATGGGTTGTGATCTATGGTCCTCCCATCTGGTTTTCAAGATGGTGGTTCCTGTTCATGATCTACCAATTAGAAGTCTTGTACCTTTTATGTATTTCTGCTGTTGTTTTATTTGTATATATTGCCAGAAGTAATGCGTCTATGCCTCTGTGTGTGTGTAGATATACATACATATATGTGGAATACACCTGGCTTGTGACCCAGGATCCTCCCAGCTGCTTTTCAGGATGGTGGTTCCTGTTCATGATCTACTAATTAGAAATCTTGCACCTTCTTAATGTATTTATGTGTTTTATTTGCATAATTTCCAGAAATGATGTGCCTGTGCCTGTGTGTGTCTGTATATATATATATATATATATATATATATATATATGCATGTACGGATACACATGGCTTCTGACCCATGGTCCTCCCAGCTGCCACTCAGGCTGTTGGTTCCTGTTCATGCTCTATCAATAAGAAATCTTGCACCTTCTTAATGTATTTCTATCTTTTGTTTGCATAATTGCCAGAAATAATGAGTGTATATGTGCGTTAAAACATATATATCTAAAGAACATGGGTTGTGATTCATGATTCTCCCAAACATATATTTTTGGTGTTTTGCTTTGAAAAACTTGCAGGGAAATGATATATTACATAAATACCTATAGTGAGGTTGTTGCCACTAAGACCTTGCCAGGTGATGGTCCATCCTCCACATTGATTGCCCAAATTGTTGGCATGAGTTCCTGCAACAAGGATTCTCGATGCATTCTTGGGCAATGGCAGCACAGGTTCATTTGCATTTTTCCCATTCTTAAGTAGAACAAGTGATTTCCTAACTGCTTCTCTTGCCAAGTCTCTATGAGCCTACAATCAAAAATTTCTTCTCAAAGAAACCATGATAACCGAAATCTCGAAAAGAGAGTCCTGGTTAATTATTACCTGACTTCCAATTTGATCTACATAAGTTTCATCAGCCAATGGTTTCTCAAACAAACCCATTGTGAATTTAACTCTCAAGATTCTTCTAACAGCATCATCAATACGGCTCATAGGAATGAGTTTATCCTCAACAAGCTTTCTTAAAGTATCAATCAACTCAGTATGGTTGTTAGTCATGACCTGCAGATTATAATCCAATCCAATTTTTCTTCAATGATTGAATGCATAAACTACATGTACAATACTAAAATTGGTTTGAACATCCGATACAGTCTCATACTAACCATATCAATTCCAGCATGAATACCAAGCATGACTGAATTGGAAAAGTTTGAATGCTCTGGGTAATTGATCTTGTCAATACCCAGCCAATCAGAGATAACAAAACCCTGCAATTTGGAAAATGTTTAGGCTTCAATTACAATTAAGAAACATACTAATCAAATTTTCTGAAAGTAACTGAGGTTTACGTATAAAGAAATGTTACCCTAAATTTAAGAGTGTTCTTGAGGAAATTGGTGATGAGAGCATGGTTGGCATGCATCTTCTTGCCATTCAAGCTGGAATAAGAAACCATGACAGTGGAAACACCCTTGATGATGGAGTGATAGTAAGGTGGCATGTGTATGGTCAAAAGATCATGCAAGTCTATTACAGTGTTATTCTCATCAATGCCCCTTATGGTGCCACCATCACCCACAAAATGCTTTGCACAAGCGGCAACTTTATCCCTGTATGCATTGATAAACATAATCCTAATGCAGATAAGATTATATTTATCCCTATAACACCAACCCATTCGGTTGTCAAAGAAGCCAAACAAACACAACCTTAAACAATACCCAGAAGAAGAAAGCTAACTTACCGTCCTCCAACATAAGGAACGCCCTTGGGAGAATTTGCAGGGAGGTCACCTTGTAATCCAGGTATAAGCTCAGTCATGGCTTTTACAATTTTAGGATCTTCACTGTAACTCTCGTAGCATCTTCCCCATCTTGGGTCTCTACAAACCGCAATGCAAGGGGCAAAAGCGTAATTAAGCCCAGTTCCTCTAACCTCACGCGCCGTCGCCGCTCCAATCCTCTTCACCAGCTCAGGATCCCTGTAACAGCGTGTTTAAACAGCGAGTTGAGTTGGAGTCGAGTCGAGTCGAGTTGAGTTGAGTTGACTCACCTGGTGGCACCGAGTCCGACATTATGAGGAAAAATGGTGGCTTTATAAACATTATTATGACCATGAACAGCATCAATGCCATAAATCAAGGGGATCCCTAAACGACTGGAGAGTGAGCCGTTTTGAAAAGAGTTGAACATGTCGATCCAGTCTCGAGGTGTAGCTCGGTCTCGAGGTGCGCTGCCTCCGCCGCTCAGCAGGCTGCCGATAGAGCAGTTGCTCATGATTTCCGGCGTAGCGGCTTGGCGTTCGAGTTGCACCATCTGACCCACTTTCTCGAGTAGAGTCATTCGATTCAGTAAGTGATTAATGCGTCTGTTCAATGGCTGCTTTGGATCTTTAAACCTCATATAATCCATTGCGACTCCTGGATTGTTTTCCGCCATTGTTAACCCGAATAGCAGAACGAGAGCAAGCAGGGTCACTGTCATCTTCTTCGTCATCTTTTTTTTTTTTCGTTTTCAGATCAAAAGCACACCTGAAAAATAATACCACATCATATATATATATATATATATATATATATATATTAGTTTAATTAAGAATTAAAATAAATATGTCTGAAAAATATTTTCTTTATCTTGCTATAGCTTACTTAGAGACTCTGAAATGATGAACAAGGAAATAGGAGAGAAGAAGAAGAGTATTTATAACGGTTGATTTGAATGGCGAAGATTATGTAATCCAGGTCAAATTGTTTTCTAATTTAAATAGCCAGATTCTTTTGGATAGTGAGGAAATTCATCTGTATCTATAATATTAATTACTTTCCCAGATAAATAGATTTCAACTTCATTTGATTAGATGTAATGATTAAGTTACTTTAATTGAAATAGACAAAATACGCTGTAAAAATTATTTAATATTTATGTAATTTTGATGATTTCTTGCAAAAATTATAATCCACTAACAGAATGTTCTTCCTATTTGGTATATTGGTTGGATTGGTTATGTAAATTTATTAGTTTCGAGAATTCAGAGTAATCTAAATCTTTTTTCGTTATATATATATATATATATTAGACAGAAATATAATTGAAGAAAGATATTATATGTAATCATATTAGAAAACCTGAGTAAGAAACTAGAAATTTGTCTAAAGGTTCATTGCAAGAAATTGATAGAGTTCAGAGAGGTCAAATATCAGTCAAATCTTCAGCAAAACTCATCACATATACATATATATGTTCATATATGTGTCATTTATGTATGCATATGTGTATATGTATATTTATGTCGAGATCATCATAGAGCAAACATATGACAATTGAAGTCTGCACAAAAAAAAGGAAAACAGGGGAATGGTTAAGAACCTGTATGTGCAGAAAGAGAGATGAAGGTCAGTAACGACGAATCTAGGTCTTCAATGGTGGCTTTGGCGTGCGCCTGGAACGAAGGGCAGATTACGAAGAGAATAAGGGAAATGGAACCGGAAAGATGTTTCAGATCTTATATTTCACAAATGAAAACATTAAATTCTCATAAATTCAGATAAAGACAATGGAATCGAGATATCTGAATTTTAGTGCGCGGGAAAAGCTGTTACTGAGAGAAATAATTGTCTCTTTTACCTCTAATACGCCATTGTTAATGGCAGATTGTTCAGGAATTCAAGGTGTATAACGATTCACCATGAGTAGAAAACAAGGTTTTTCTCTGAAAAATTTTCGGAGGTTGGAGTATCGGGAATGTTGAGTTCAGTTCGTAACGGAGATGAAGAAGAGGTGATGAGAGATCTTCCATGGATGAATGATGAATCAGAAAAGGAAAGAAGCTTATGATTTATTTTTTTTTCTAAATTTGAATTTACCCGCCAGAAATTCAAATCCAACATTTAGAACCAAAACAGAGTAGGAAATTTCCTATCCTGGAAAATTCCTGCCAGAGATAGGAATTAAAGATTTACCTTCCTGTTTCTTAATCCTTAATTCAACAGGAATTTCAGGATTACCTGCGGCCATATATGCTTGAAGGCAAGGCAAGAAACCTAGATCGAAACACAAACAAAGACAGATTAAAATTAGAAAGCACAAAACCCTAATTACTGTGAGCTTCTTCAACCAGTACTTCAATGGCGACAAAGCGCAAAATCCCAATGGAAAAGCGGAAAACGAAGGAGCAGAGAGCCGTTACCTTCACTAAACGGCGACATGGTCTCTTCAACAAGGCCGCCGAGCTCTCTGTCCTCTGTGATTTTCAGGTCGCCGTCTTGGTTTCTTCCCCAAATTCTCCGAAGCGAACCAAGTTCTACACCTTCGGCTGGTCCTCCGTCGATACCGTCATCGACGCGTTCCTCCATTTTCGTGCTCCTCCTCCAATCGAGAATCACAAAAAGGCTTCTGTTCTCTCCCTCTGTGAAAACATTCGAATGTTAGAACGGGGAAGGAAAGAGATTCAATCACTGGCGAGAAAGAAGACGAAAAAAGAGAACCTAGGTTTTTGGTGGGACGTTGAAGATTTCGATCGGAATCAGACATTTGAAGAGTTGGATCTGACTATTTCTAGATTAGAAAATTTGAGAGAGAATGTGATGAACAAACTGTCTGGCTCTGATTCTCTCTCTCTCTCTTCCGACGATTTTTCACTGACGACGCAGATTTCAGGCTCTAGATCTGCTACTCCTCCTCCCATCAACACCGCCATTAACGAGTATTCTGCATCTCTACAACTTTTAACTTACAGTTCTACTGATAAAATCAGCAAACCGGAGGGAATTTCAGATCTAGCGGCTCCATATTCTGATCCAGCGAACATCAATGGTGATAACAGTCTGCCTCAACAGTTTGTTACTTCTTCTGCCAACAATGAGGATTATCATCAAGAGTATCATAACATCAACTGTGCGGATAATCTCCCGGCTCTGCAACTTTTAGATTCCGCTTCCAACAGAACCGCCATTAACGAGTATTATGCATGTCTACAACTTTTAACTACTGATATAATCAGGAAACCGGAGGAAATTTCAGAACTACCGGCTCCATATTCTTATCCCGTGAACATCAATGGTGATAACAGTCTACCTCAACAGCTTGTTCCTTCTTCAGCCAACAATGAGGATTATCATCAAGAGAATTATAACACCAACTGTGCGGATAATCTCCCGGCTCTACAACTTCTAGATTCCGCTGCCAACAGAACCGCCATTAACGGTTATCAAGATGATCAAGTAGTTCAACAGTTTGATTACAGGTTGACATATGATGGAATCGATGCCGCCATTAACAATGATCATTATCAAGATAATCAAATGGTTGAAGACTTTGAATATGGATTGTTATACAATGGGATCAAAGATCTAACGAACGTCAGTTCCGAGACTCCACCAACATCGTTGTTCTCCAACTGTACGATTGAGTATCCGATGAATAACTGCAATTTTCCCGCCAACATCGATGGAGCTGGAACTAACAATGCCAACTCTGGATTACTACTTGCTGATAATAACTGGTTATTATGTTCCACCATCGATGACTATGGATTCTTTTGATAAATAGTACGTAGCTCCTGAATCTATACTTGTGATGAGTGTCTATACGTATTTAGGGAGAGATACATAGGGTTCTTACCAGATATTTGGTTTTGTAATTAGAATTTTTTGAACAAAAAATTGAATCCAAACAGAGAATTCTCCCCATAAATCTAAAACATGTTTGTTATTTTTTAATTTATATTTTTTTCATGTCGTCTCGTGACGGTTGATACGAAATATCCCGCGTTAGATTTCATGATATTACGTTAATTAAATTTTAAAAAATACATTTTAATTTAATATTTATATTTACAAATTATTTTAATTAATTATATTTTACTGAAAATTTTAACAAAAATGACAACTTTATGTTTTTGTCTGTACTTTATTTTATATAAAATTTGAAAATTATTAAAAATTATCCTTAATGCATTTAATAATAATTAATTTATGTTATTTAAACCATATTCAATTATTATAAAAAAAATAAAAAAAAACTATAATAATAATTTTTTTACTATTTTTAAATTAATAAACTTAAATAAAACCATTTTTTACTCACCCAAGTGAAACAAATATATATATATATATATGTTGCTATTTGTTTAATATATTTTGAAAAATCATGATTATAATCAAATTTCAAAAACCAAATTATGACAAAAAAAAATATTAAATTATAATTCAAAAACTAAGTTGATAGTTTACTTCTACTTACGTATCATCACAAACACAGTTAATACAAGATTGCAGTGATGACGTCACACATGTAGAATTTGGTAGTGTGTAAATTACAAGTAGAGAGTACAAACAAAGCATACAATTAATACTATGTACAAATACTATGTATCATCCAGAAGAATTACAAGAGAGTTACAAAACAATACTAAATCGGGTTTTTAACCCGTTAAGATTAGTCAAACTAAAAGAATTTAACCATTATAAAATGTTCCGTTAGAACAAAAAATGTCATGATTTACCGAAGCAAAGCTCGTCAAATAGCTAAAATTTTGAACTATCAAAGACGATAACAGGCAAGACATATGATAACTTGTATTATACTTATCTGGTGGCTACTAAAAATCCAAGAGATGTCAAATGTCAATGGTAATCAATTAAATAATTGCAAGGCTGGAAATAAAATGTATGGCATCCATGCAGCAAACCCCAGCTCAATTGGCTAGAGATGGTGCCTTAGGGTTCTAAACTACAGCTTTCATCTTCTATGCTAGTGAATTTCATGAAAATACAATGCAAAACCCATATTATCTCAAGTTAAAAAAGTGAAAGGGGAATAAAATTACCGAGGGACCCGAGTATAGTGCCCCTTCTCGAGGTCATATATGATTTTTAGCTGTGGTTTTCGTAGTTGCAGTACAAAAAACATGGCAAGCAAAGCTATTAAAATAATTGCAAATAAAGAGAAGTAAGTGACTGAATCACTTCCCACAATTTTGACTTCGTTTTCGGGTTCAATTTCTGGGGGTTTCAAGACTGACTGGAAGATGAAAGCTCCGAGAGTCCAATCAAGGGCAGTAGCTCCAGTGTGATTTGAAAATCCAATTCTGCAAAGAATAACTTTCCTATCACAAATTTTCCGAGAGAAAAAGAAAAAGAAATCCTTCAAGTGATATGCACGATGCTTAGACCCATGAGACAAAGGTAAAATGTTTTGGACGACATGGTTAATATACCAACAAGAGACTTCCATGCTTCCTGAACATGGTAATCCAGGTCTGGAAAAAACATGCACCAGATACTTCCATATAACAAGACTGAGATTCCATCAGAAGAAATTTGTAACAAGCACTGAAGATATGAGTTGAGTAAGCCCTGATGTTGAGGAAGACCCAAATCTAAATTCCGCAATTATCAAATTCCCAACGTCCCACAATTATGAAAAACCAAATCTGAGTTCCACGATTCCCTGGATTTCCAATGCAACAAAATGCTGAAAAGTTCTTTAGCAGGAAAAGAAAACATGCTGAAAAGTTTGCAGTACAGGTCCAGAAACATGATTTGTAAAGAGAACTCCAGTTGATGAAAGACAAGATTGGTTTTATATGCTTCTAACAGACTCCAAGGAGAACCCCACACACTGTTTGGAAGAAATTAATTCCAGGAAAAGTTATACGATTCTTTTGCAAATATACATTTTAGACAGTTAGAATGTGGATAAAAATATGGATTCGCAGATGATCCTGCCCTTTTTTTCTGGGTGGAACTCATTAATTCTAAAAATACCCACAATTTTTAGATAGAACTTTAAATTGCAGCAAGAAAACTTAACTTCTGACTGAAAGATCAAGTTTTCCGTGCAGAACGAAAAGAAATTAGATCGGAAAGTTTTTTCAATTCTAAGGAATTTACATAATTATTATCATTCAGTTTTTTAGTTTATTTAGGATTAAAACTAGGTGTTTAACTACAAATACCATTAGTTTCCATTTATTTTTTTTTATTGAAACATATATAATGACCATGACCTAGAGGAATGTTACATTATGTTGTATTAAAACCTTGCTAGCGATCTATTATAATTTTCTAGTCACTCTTTTATGCTTCTTCTGTTTCTTCTCATTTTCTTGGCTATTTCTTCTACTATGATCCACTTTACATCTGATTTTCTTCTTCAATTTCTGCTTACATCTCTTTATTGTCCTGCTTGTCCTCCAATCATGTGAGAGGGTTTTTCTCGGGAAAAATATCATAATAAAAAGAAGAAGCAAAAGGAATTTCGAAGATTAACAACTAGGATGATTCATGGAGGTGCAAAGGAATAGAAGAAATAGTAGTTCTTTATCCTTAATCCTTGCAAATTATAAGTTAGTACTTGTATAGGACTTTTGGGTGGGCTGAATACATTATTCATGGAACAGTTTGAATTCGTTTGACTGACATGGTGGGCAAGGAATTTTCTTCGTGGAATTACAGATACTTGTTACACAGACACACATCAAATGTAGGGCAAGTTTACAACTTTTCCTTTGGATTTATTGAATTATCCTAAACATATTTATAATTATTAACAAAATTTATCATTTGTTGTAATATTGATTTTTCTATAACCATTAATTATATTTAATAAAAGTAATCAAAGTAAAAGCTAGCTGGAATATTGTCCTCACGAACATATGCAAAGGAAGCATTATCATTTGTTGTAAGATAATTAGCTGTAGAAGAACACAAAACCTTTTCTCATGCATGGGGAGTCCAAGCCCATCATGCAGTAGTGCCACCATATATGCTGAGGAGAAACAATATCTGACCAGATCCAGATCATCAACACCACGGTGCAGATTTTTTAGGTCATCCCAATTATCTTCACAATAATGTTTCCCAGCTGCCACCAATTCAAACAACGAAGCACTAGGAACCAGCCCAAAATACTGTACAAGGTTGAATAATTTGGAAGAAAAAGCAATAACTCCATTAACAGTAGTAAAGAGAGAAAAGTATGATCTTGCAAATCCAAGATCTGATAAAGAAAATCTGCAAACAAACATTGAATGTTTCAATGCATATCATGCTTTTAGAAAGTGTTATCCAGCAGTAAATTTTTAATTCACCAATATTCTCTTTATAGTTTTCAAGATCTCTTGATACTTAAGCTTTTTTCCCCTTTTTCTTCTGAAGAATAAATCATATTCTTCGGAAACCACCAAGTAAGCAATAGACAGAAGAAATCTACAATAAAAACCCCTAGTCCACAAAAATCAGAAACAGATCGAAATTCAAAAAGAACAATTAAGAGTGTGAAGCCAAATATCTCCAACCCTTTGCAAAAGGAAGCTAACACCCTCAAGAGCTTTTTCATTTCTCTCTTCAGATAACTCAATACATAGCTAGCCTGCTAGAAGGATTAAGAGTGTTGACCCTCTTACAGTTCTTGTCAGCCTCAAAGTCATCCCATATCCAGATATCTACTGCGTCTGATCCTCCAACCACCCAACTACCCTTCACCAAGCTTTGTTTTTAATGCATTTACATCAGGCCAAGATACCACAATAACATACTAAAGAGTGCAACCAGGCAGATAGGGTTCACCAAAATGGGGCAAAATTAGCTAGGGTTATTTTCTGAAAATTGCTCCAAAAAACTTCATCTCTCATAAACGATTTATAAACTCTTATGATTGTCATCCAGGAATCTCAGGCTCTGTCCCAGGTAACTTTGGGCAAGACTGCATATTGAGAAAAGTCAGTGCCTTACAAACCGGCAACGACTGCACTGTTTGTTTTTTTAAGAGGAAACAGAATAAACTGTTCTGTGTTCTTATCATGCTTTTAGAAAGTGTTTTGGATCCAGAAATAGCTTCTTGAGTTCTCAATTTACCAAGATCACTTTTTAGTTTCAAGATCTCTTTATACTTAGGTAAGCTTCTTTCCCCTTTTCCTTTATAAGAGTAAATCATATCTTCAGGAATCACCAGATTAAGCAATAGACAGAAGAAATCTACAAAAAATCCCTAATTCAAAAAAATCAGAAACTGGTTGAAATTCAAATAAAAAGTATTTTAAGAGTACAAAGTAAAATATCTCCAACCCTTTGCAAAAGGGATTTAACACCCCCAAAAGCTTTTTTATTTCTCTCTTCAGATAACTCAATACATGGCTAGACTGCTAGAAGAATTAAGAGCGTTGACCCTCTTACAGTTCTTATCAGCCTCAATGTCATCCCATATCCAGATATCTGCTGTGATTGATCCTCCAACCGCCCAACTAACTTTCAGCAAGCTTTGGTTTTAATGCATTTACATCAGTCCAAGATACCACAACAACATACTAAAGAGTGCAACCAGGCAGATAGGGATCACCAAAGTGGGCAAAATTAGCTAGGCTCATTTTCTAAAAGATTGCTCCACAAATCTTCATCTCTTATAATGATGTATGAACTCTTATGATTGTCATCCAGGAATCTCAAGGCTTTGCCCTGACTAACTTTGGGCAAGACTGAATATTGAGAAAAGTCAACGCCTTACAAACTAGCAACAAATGGACCGTTTGTTTCTTTCAAGAGAAAACAGAATAAACTGTTTTACGTTCTCCGTACATTCAAATTACTATGCATTAAAATATATCAATTTTCTTCTTTTTCTAGTATATTTAACTAAAATATATCCAGATTAAGCAGTCACTGTCTAATCAAAGTCTCAGATCTGAGTGCACAACTATCTGGGCATAAAACCTCTACAATGATCATAGACAACTGCCTCAAATGATGATGTGACAAATTAAATTCCAGAATACATCCTTGTTTACAAACCTCGGAAATATAGAAGAAGTTTTCTGGTGGAACCGGAATGTCATTTGACGTCAGAAAGAAGGATGAATCAATTTTACAAGGTGGATGCAAGCATTTATCTGCATTAATAACAAATATATATTACTGAATGTGCTTTTCCAATTTGACGATAGAAAGTTTTAAGGGAAACAAGCAGAGAACTGTACTAGATAAAAGAATTATCTCCGCAAGCAAAAACTCAATCAAAAAAATGTCTTTAGGCACAAAAAGCTTAAAGAAAGAAAGAAGTGTCCATCGAGTTAGAATTGCATTTGTATCAACAACTTAACCTTGGAACAAGCTTTCACCTTCCAGAAAAGCACTAATGAAGGCCAAATTTTGACTAGAAGGTAATAGATTAGATATCAAAAGAAAAGACTTGCAGGTGTAGACATCGGATGAGTTTAAGGTCCACACTCGACCATCTGATCTTAACACAACATTGAAGGGTTCAGGAAGGATACGCAAAGATATCGGATCTAATTTATAAGAATCCCTCCATACCACATGCTTTGGAACTCCTTTATCGCACAAATACATAATATGATTACTAGAATGTTAAGAAATGTATTCTTTTTGTTTCCGCATCCAGAAGTACAAATCATTGAAAGAAAAAGAAACCAAAGGCACAAGCAGAAACTGTTAAGGTAATATGCAGTACATGCTACCTTGCTTTCTCTTAAACAAATCCAGAGCCTTGGATCTGCATATAGAAAAGTTTCCAGCTGAATTGGATGTCGGAAGTTTTACATCAGTTACATTTGATGTCAATTTATAGCCATTAGGAAGGCAAGGATTGTTGAAATCTTCTCCCCCAGATTTTAAAACTGCATCAAAAGTCCATAGAATATTCTTAAAACAATGAGAAAAGGTTCTATCACATCGTTCAAATATAAAAGGAATCTAAAGTGTTAAATATGATGTCCATATCAAAAACCAGGTTGGAACCAATGAAGAACTGGAAATATATGAAATCATCCTTTTTTCATACCATGTCTATCTACATAGGATTCTATCCAAACAACAAAAAATAAGCAGAGGGGTTAACCACAACCTACAAACATGTTCGAGAATCAATTGCCAAACACATGAATCAGCTAGATAATCAATTACATTTGATGTCGATTTATAGCCAATGAGAAGGCAAGGATTGCCAATCCCCAGAAAAAAAACTGCATAAAGTCAAAAGTGTGGCAAAATGTTCTCAAAAACTATGAGAAAAGATTCTATCATCTTGAAATTGGAATCTAAGTCTCAACTAAATATGAGGTCCATATTAGAAACCAGGTTCGAACCAACGAAGAACTAGAAATATATGAAATCATCATATTTTGAGCCATGCCTTGCTGCCGAAAAAAGAAATCTTCAAAAACCAATATCTTTAGTGTCAAAATTAAGACTGACAGCAGTTGCCAGCCGGAATAAAAATGTCAAACTTGTAACAACAAAACAATATATTCTTGTCAAATAACTACTAAGGCAAAAACAAGGCAAACATTGAGGGGAAAAAAAAGGAAGAGGAAATAGCACAATAAACTTCAAGTCATGCAACTATTGAAGTAGTGAGTGCATGTGAATTCCAAATGAAGGCATGACAAATATCCAGCGTAAAACTTACCGGTGGTCAAGTCTTTAGAATTGTATGGTTCATGCAGTGATTTCCAAGCTGCATTCTGTTAAAAGAACAAAACAAGGCCAGATTCCCTACTTAATGACCTGCCAGTACATCAGCAATTTTTTTCTGAAGAAACATAGACAAAAATTCAACAAGCAAGAAACCATGCCACCAGCTTGAAGTTAACTCCAATACTAAAATATGTCTGATCAGGGATCTAAAACTCCTTCCCTGTGAGAGTAACTAGGTTTCCACCATCAATTAACTTAGGCATTATAAGAAAAATGATGCAGGAAAGTAAATTAGAGAACAGAAACAAAATTTTAAAGCATCTTGCTAATTAATTTATAATGG